GTAATAGTAAAAGTGCTTGAAATCTAATAAATTTGAGTCAGTGTTGATTTAAATGTTCAGACAGAAAACATCAGCTCTCTGTCTGAACAGTTTAACTCGTTAGCTGCAGGCCCTGTGTTCACCTTGTTGCTCTTTTTGAAGAACCATCACTGCTTCAGCCTCCTGGCATCAGGCAGGTGAGGATGAGGATGATGGAGCATCATCATTCTCTGGAAAACAAAGACAATAAAACTGCAGCTCATCGGACGCTCAGACATTAATCCTCCATCATCTGAGTGCAGGAATTTCCCAGAGTGCAGGAGAACACAACAACACAACACAAACACAGGCAGGCCAGTGGATTTAAAACCCAGGAAACAAAGATTGAAAGGGCAGATCCATGTGCTTCTCTGTGCAGCTGCAGGATTAAGGAGGGCAGAAAGGTCCTGCGCAGTAATGGAAAATTGTATCCTCAGAAATTAGTCAGATCTGCTTCAACAGGAGCAGCTGGAGTTTCCTGTTTCAGTTCTGCTGAACAGAGCTTTCTAAACTCCTTAATGTGGATATAATTAACCTGTTACCTGTTGTAGATACATCTGTAATGGAGAAAAGGAGTTTAATTAGACCGGACTGATGAGCTAAAGGCTAGTCCTAACAGGCCAAGAGCAATTTGGATTGTTGACGTTGTGAAACAGTCTTTAAAATGTAACAGCCGATCATTTAAACACTGTTTTATGAACATTTACMTGGCCGTTGGTTTTGCTTGTAGTTATTTACATGCTTCTGTGGCACAAGTAGCAGCAGCAGTTAGCTGCAGCACTTCCTGTGCAGCCACATCACATGGCAGAAAAACAAAATGTTGCATGTAGCAGGTTGTTTCAGGACGACAGTGATGCACATCGGACTTGTTTCTGTTCACACACTGTTTGCTGAAACCGATCGTTTAAAGGGCGACCTAAAACTTGTGACTAACCTAAAGGTGCAGCTTCCTGATGTTTGTTTTGTGTTTCAGCTTCACAGAGCGTGGATCGAAAAAACCTTCCTGAAGAGAGAATGTATCCAGATTATTCCCAGCAAAGATGCCAGCAGGTAAACCCTCTACCATCATCTGATCATGCTTCAGCTCAGAGGGGAACCAAGTTTCACTGCAGGAAGCATTTGAGCTGAAAATGACAGCTGCTTAGTGCTGCTTGTTTGCGTTTGGTGGGAWGGAAATGAACCAGGAAGAACAWGTGGTGGATTTAGCCAAGAGGATGGAAATGTTTGCGGTCTGCACTTATTTTCATAAAAGGGAGGAACACAGACTACATTCTGTGTGGGGGAGTTAGCCTTGTGGATAATATTGACCAAATGCAGCAGGAGAGTTGAACCAACAAGACTCAAGTATGGAGAACCAGCTGCTCAACAGGAACCACCCACTTCAGATGTTATCATCCATGAAATGGACGTTATTAGGRGTTATCAGTCCCATAGAATGGCTTCAGAATGTCCCGCCTGTGCCGGTTAGCAGGTTCCCCGTCCCATAGAATGGCTTCTGATTGTCAGCTGGTTAARATGAGYCATAAAAAACTGGTTAATATGAGGCTTAAATCCACTAAGGTTAATCTTAGAGCAAATGACATGGTTAGCGCTAAAGACKCCGCCCTCCAACGGTTATATARTGTGGCCTTCCAATAGGGCAATGGGTAGAGTGTTGGACCAGGGTTCCAGATCGAGTTGTCAGTAACTCTCTGCTGCTTCACCAGTTTTCATGTCTTTATTAGTAAATTTGATTGAAATATAGCTACTTTTGTTACTTCAACACTGACATTGAGTGACCCCCATCCCCTTTGTTGTTTGATCAGGTGCAGTTGTGGTAAACTGGTGACGCAGCATGCTGCCATCCCTGCAGGGGCCAAAGAGGAAGGGGCCCCACTGGTTCAGTTGGAGGRCCTACCCTCAGAGAGATGGAGTGCCCTCAAACACACCCAGACATCCCCCACCGATGCCTACGGYGTCCTGGAGTTCCAGGGTGGTGGACACGTCAACAAGGCCATGGTACTAGAGTGGAGTTTGTTCTATCGGGACATTCACACAGAACGTCTCACTGTCCCCCCGTGTCTTCTGCTGCAGTACATCAGAGTCTCCTARGACTCCAAGCCGGACACCCTGCTCCATCTGATGGTGAAGGAGTGGCAGCTGGAGCTCCCCACGCTGCTCATCTCGGTCCACGGAGGCCTGCAGAACTTTGACCTGCCCCCCAAACTGAAGCAGGTCTTTGGTAAGGGACTGATCAAAGCCGCCGTCACCACCGGAGCCTGGATCTTCACGGGAGGAGTCAGTACAGGTGCCACGCCCACTCTCCTCACATTTATGATTGATATTAAAAACAAACAAAAAACATTTTAAAGCTCTTTTGAAACTTTGGGGTTTTATTACGTCTCCTGAAACTATATGTAAGAGAAGTATAAGTATTGTTCTAAATCAAATTAAACTGAATTTATTCTGGGGTCTTGTCTTTAGTGACACGAGCGTGGCTTTAGTGAATGTTGTGAAGAAACTGCTGAAAAGCAAAGGTTTGAGGCAGTGGTGGGCACCAGTCCGCTAGAGAGCTAAATCCACTAATTGAGGATCCAAGCTCTTATTTTGAAGGGAAGATACTAGTTTCCTGTTCCCTCGTGCTTTCGTTTCCCGTCAGTCCGTCATGTACCCAGAATGCATCACTTCAGTTTTCCAATAAAAAGTTTTAAAATTACTTTACTGATGCTTCCTTAATGAAAAATCTACAACAAACAAAAGAAAATGATAAAGAAGCAGCCGAAGTAGCAATCCTCAACAACTTTTTAATTTTTACACCAGAAGCCAAAGTTCTGTTTCAGGAAATCACATCCCCAGCAATCAGCGATTGTAGGATTAAGTTGTAAAAGAGTTCATATACCACAAGTTGGCAGTGTTGTGTATATATTGTACTTGAATTGTCAGCTAGTAAGTGTCAAATTGAACTTGCACTTTGAAATTAGCTTCTGCTAGTTTTTCTACGGCATAAGTGGTTTTGAAGTTGCAGACCTAAATATTTTTATAAGCGCTTTAGAAATTGCGGAGCTAATTTTTGGGTTAGCGCTGCCCACAACTGTGTGTGCTTATATGTTGGTAAAATCCTGGTCAGGATGGTCTCCTCGGACTCACTGAATGTTGTCAGATTATCATGGAGTCCAGTCACAAACCAGACTGAGATTTCTCATCCTGTCTCCTTTTCTGGTGTTTTAGGAGTTATCCGTCATGTTGGAGATGCTCTCAAAGACCATTCATCCAAGTCAAGAGGGAAAGTCTGTGCTATTGGCATTGCATCATGGGGGATTGTCGAGAACAAAGAGGATCTGATTGGGACAGATGTAAGRAAAATAACAGAGCAAATCAGGCTGGTTTTAAAAATGTATAAACCTAAACTCTTTAGAAAGAAACAAAATCAAATACAGAAAAGAGTTCCCAAAAATAAGAAAGCATCATCTACGTAGAAGGTACTGTATTTTTGTGTTTTGGTGATAAAATGATTTGCAGGGGGTCAACAGTACATGACCTAGCACAGTCTAAAAGATCAGAAATCATTAAGTTGGGACACACCCACTGAATGACAGCAAGTTAGCCTTCAAATGAAGGCTTGGAGGTTCAACCTGAGCCCCTGCAGCAACCTAAAACCTTTGCTGTCCCCAGTGTTCTTACAGGTGTGGTATAAAAAGGGTTGTATATATAATGTGTAAAATATACAACAGAAAAAGCCCTGTATGAGTGTAGGAGAAACACTGTAAAGTGTTTTGCAGAACCAGAAGAGGTTAAAAAAGCTCTTTGTAAGAGTGGACTATTTTCCTTTACACCTGCCGTCTACAAACTACAGCAAAAAAAGTCATTGCCAAATAAAAACGTCACACTCTAATATTCCATTGGACCAGCTTTATCTTTGATTACGGCCCACATTCTTTGTGGCATCGTTTGGATAATCTTCTGCAATGTGACCAGATTTATTTCCATCCAGTGTTGCATTGATGTTTCACTGAGATCTTTCATTGATGATGGTAGAGTCTGACCTCCTCCAGAACATCCCAAAGACTCTCAGTGGACTCTGTGGAGACAGTCCATGTGTGAAAATGATGTCTCATGTTCCCTGAACCACTCTTTCACAAAAGAGCCTCATGAATCCTGGCATTGTCATCTTGGAGTATGTCTGTGCCATCAGGGATCCATTGATGGAATAACGTGGTCATTCAGTATATTCAGGTAGTCAGCCGACCTCATTCTTTGAGCTGAACCTGGACCTGACCACCTGCAGAGACCCCACAACATAGACCTGAGTTGCATCCAGGTGGACAGGCAGTGTATAAAGTTATTACTCAGAAAGTAAAATAATCTATWCTCAAAAACATCTGAAAATGTGATGGAATTTGTATTTTTACAAGTAAATGAGTCTTTGATTAATCATTATCAAATAACTATGARGATAATTCACCTTTGTTTGATCACACTGTTGTTTTTCAGGTGACCCGTCCTTACCAGACCATGTCCAACCCGCTCAGTAAGCTAGCAGTCCTGAACAGTAGCCACTCCCACTTCATTCTGTCTGACAACGGGACCACCGGCAAGTACGGAGCTGAGGTCCGCCTCCGCCGGCAACTGGAGAAACACATCTCTCTTCAGAAGATCAACACACGTGAGTCATGTGGCGTAACCAAACCACCAGCTGATGTTAGGACCACTCAAACCCCCTTTCATGCCTGAGGCTCATCAACTCATGTGACCAGTCATGTGACCAATCATGTGACCAATCATGTGACCTGTGGGTTTCCCTTTGTCATCCTATGCCTGGAGCTGTCTGTAAGGCAGGGACAGCAAAGGGAGGCTCAGCCGTCACCTCTCACTTCAGTGCCCCAAGGAACCAGGAGAACCAGACAACAACCYCAACCCATCAAAGAAAAACATTCAAACATCACAAAATACTTAACAAACAAATGCCTGAACCATCCAAACCATCTGAACTACCCTCAGCAAAAAGTAGTATGCAAGTATCCTAGCACTTTCTCACTCCTGACTCGTCAACATGTTGACGCTTTTCCAAGGTTCCCTCTGCGTCTTATTTTGACGCGTCGGGTAACCCCCTCGCGTCAGTCTTTGCTGCCCGCGACTTTTCTGGGTTGCACCACCAGGGGTCTTTGGGTCGGGGGTCTGAGGTTAATATGAGGGATCAGGATAAATGGTTATGTTTGGGTACTGGAGTCAGAGATAGGATGTCTACAGCGAATATTAGGTAATTTTAGGCTTAGGAACACGTAGTTGACGTGAATTTTCGACATTTTCTAAAAATGGTTAATTTTAGGTATGGTGGCTCAGTTGGTAGAGCTGATGCCTCTCAGCAAGAAGGTCACCGGTTCAAATCCCGGT